ATGTGTACAGTCAATAGTTCAATATTATGTAGAGCTTTTATATTAATGATACATGTACATCATTCTACATGCATTCTTCAATCATTCAATGATTTATTTATTAAGTTAATGAATGTAAAACATTTCATGGTTCATCTTGTCTTTGTGACCACTCACTTGACTTGTGTTACAGTGTCTTGTCCCATTAATACTTATATTTTATGTATTACTGGGAAAATTACTGCATGAATTTATCACATGTGTACATCACAATATACAACAATGTAGATTTTAGTTCTACTTTGTACATTTGCATACATGGTACCTGTATACATGTATCATACATTGTACATGTATCAATAAGTTAAGTTTTCATTATACATGTGTCTTTATATTTCATGTATAGGTACATGTACAATGTACCATTGTACTTACATACATGTACATGTACATATTGTATACCTATTAACTGTCACTTGGGCACACTCATTAATGAGTACATATCAGTTCCAGTAACACGTGTGAGAGAGGAAGAAGGAAGGAAGAAGGAAGCATGAGCTGTCAAATGAAAGGACACAGCTCATTGAGGTCAGTGAAGAACTGACAGTAGTCCCAGACTCTAGATCAAGTATGGAATGAGAGCATCATAGGAAGAACATATAGCAGGGGACAGACCTCCATCAAGAAAACAGACAACTACTGATAGAGGAATACTTGAAGGAGAGGAGAGAGCTATAGGTATCAACTGAGAAGAGAGAGGGAGACAACTAGATCCTGAACAAGACCTGTGGTATGAAGGTGACTGATGCAGGTCTTTGGACAAACAAGAAATAACAAGACAATAGACACTAATAAACTATTGTGTCATCTACATGTATCTTGAACAAAGTGTGCTCTACTATCAAATCTGAATTTTTTTGACCTTTCATCCTCACCAAACGTCATTCACTCATAGCTCCACCCATACAGTATTTGTCTGCTCTGTGCAAGCAGTCGCTTCTTTAATTTGTTTCCATAACTCTTTTACTGTCTAGTATACAATTTTGCTTTTAGTTGCTGGTACATGTGTCACTGGCTTAATTGTCCTTTGTGTTTATATTAGCAAGATGTACTCTTGGTATTAGCAATGATAAAACTCTAGTACAGAAAATATTAATATAGTTTGAGGGATAACAAGGATCAAGAATTGGGTTGCAAACAGATATCGAATGCTTCCAGTAGTAAAGACTGGAAGCTGAATACTTGCCTGATAGTTTTATTTGTTTTGTATTTGTTATGTACAAAAATACTTTTTCTGCCAGCTTGTTAACATTACTCACTTGTCTTGTGATTCTTGTCTTACTTTAATATTAACTCAACTATCCAGGAGAAACTGTCTTCCTGATCTTAAGAGAGCTATTTATTAAGTGTGTACTTTCATACATGTGCATATTAATTTTATTTTGATTTTTTTGATTGTTTTTCTTTTTTGACAATGAAATTAAAATGATGCGAACTCTGTAAATAACTTGTCTCTCAGTGCACACTAGCTGCCCTATATTTGACAAGCATGCTATATGACTTTATTATACATGTACTTCTCAAAATAATTTATCTGGACTATTATTATTTTAGATAAACAAAAGCAAGCACTGAGTGCACTAGAGAAAGGTATGGAGGAAGGTTTTCTTATGCTCAACAACACTAAAATCACTATCTGTGGTCCACCAGCTGTTGGCAAGACTGCATTCAACAATCTCC